TGCAAAGCAAGGAGCAGCTTTGTCGAAGTGGGTACCGAGCAGCCTGGAAAGCTGCCAAACCTGAGTTAAGTAGGGTTTAGGGTTTTAGGGTTTAGGGTTTAGGGGTTAGGGGTTTAGGGGTTTAGTGGGGTTTGTGGTTTAAGGCTTTAGGGGTTTAGGGGTTTGGGTTCAGAATTCGGGATCTTCCCGGGATTCTTCAGGGGCCAAACTTAACAGGGTGTGGATTTTAGGTTTTAGGGTTTAGGTTTTAGCCTTCTGAGGACCCTGCCCCAGCATCGCTTGTGCGTTTGAAACCCGGGTGTAACCTTTGTGTCTTGGTTGGGAGGTTCTGGGTCATCCATGTCAGCATGCCTCGTGCTTCTTGGGTTGCGAGATCATCTAAGGCAGTTCGACGTGAGCATCATCGAGGCAAGGGGAAGGGCAACCCGAAACCCCAGACCCTGACTTCTGGGTGTGTAGGTTTGCAGGATTTTGCTGTACATCGTGGGGTTCTGCGATATTTCGCCTCTGACCATATAGGGTTTGTAAGAACGCCGGCATAAATTATTCAGAAAAATCAGTTAGTGTGGCTTGAGAACAAAACCTGAAGCACCAGCACCCTCAACCCTAAACCCGTGGCAGGAGGCTGTTCAGCAACTGGAACGGGAGGCCCACTGCTCTGTGTTGTGATAAGGCGTTGCTGAAGAGGGTTTACGGTCCAGGGTACAGTCCCAGGACGCTGCCTAAGCCTAAGCAGAATTGAAGGGGGTTCCGGGTGTAGAGTTTCTGGGTTTTTTTGCTGAGGATGCACAGAAACATACCGGTAGGTTGTAGATTGTTGTGGTCTTACTGGTTGGAAATATAGGGGCACGCGAACCCTAACACCTAAACCCGTATGACAATCTAGCCGTCGATATATCTGGCAAACTGCAACCTGAAGATTGAAGCTCTTGTTTTGTGGGGCTTTCCAGGGTTCTATATGGGTACAAGGGGTAGAGGCCGGTGTAGCAAGGATCTTGCGGTGGCTGTAACGGTTAGCATTTGTTGGGTCTCGGGGCTTGAGGTTTGGGTTTAGAGGGGGCAAGATAATATCCCTCTCACAACGCCATCTGCACAACCAACAACATCAGCCTTTAGAAAAAGCATGCGAGTCGATCGATGATCAAGTTCACGGCAATGATGGCAACAGTAGAAAGCAGTGACGTTGGTAGCCAGAGTGATAAACACAATTCGGTAAACAGTACTCTGCAAGTTTGCAAGTTGCTTGTCTTGGACCGCCATGGCGATCCGCGTCGTTGTGTCGCTGCTGAGCGGTCGCCATGTTTCGGTGGAGATCTCAGCAGACGCGAAGATCAGCTCCTGGACGAACACACAAAGTTGTAAGGATTTTACAGGCCTCTACTAGGTTTTAGTAAGAGCTTTATCTGGGTTTTTAGGTTGTGGTATGGTATTACAAGAGCTTTTTTAATCAATACTGGCTACTCCTTCCAACCGCTTCAGGTCCCTCTCTACCGACTGCCGACACTACCACATGCAAAAGGCTTAAACCATAAACCCTAAACCCGTTGCAGGGTGTCAGTTTTAAAGCAGGCTTTGCTTTGTAAATCCAGAATCCCCAGCGGCGGTTCCACACCGGGTTTCTGTAAAATAGGGGGCCTTGAAAATTATTATGGTATACTATTTTGGGGGTTCTTTCTTGCAATTATAGTATAATATACCACAAAACCCTATTCTATTTCTACATGAAGGGTTATCCAGCAGTCGGCAGTGTTTATGAGGATGGGCACTGTCTTGGTACGACGTCCGAAGTCACTGCCACGTGTCCCGATTCGTTCCAAGTAGAAGCTGTGCAAAAGACAGGCCCCTGCAATGTTCTTCCGGCATCAACTTTGAGCCGTGAACTTTAAACAACCTAAACCCTAAAGCCTAAACCCTAAACCTGAACCTAAACCCTAAACCCTGAACCCTAAACCCGAGACCCTAAACTTGATAAACCCAAAACCCTGAACCTAAACCTAAACCTAAACCCGAGACCCTAGACCCTAAAACCCTACAACTTGATAAACCCGAAACCTTCAAAATCCTCAAACCCTAAAGCCCTAAACCCGAAAACCCCTAAAACCCCTAAAACCCTAAGTTTCTGAGCCCTCCGAGCTCTGTTGGAGACCCCGAGGCTCTCTGCGATGCCGCTCCGCCGCCGAGCTAGGCCGGGTCCTTACAGTTTAGGGGTTTTAGGGTTTTAGGGTTTTAGGGTTTAGGGTTTAGGGTTTAGGGTTTAGGGTTTAGGGTTTAGGGTTTTAGGGGTTCTAGGGTTCAGGGTTTAGGGCTTAGGGGCTTAGGGTTTTAGGGTTTTAGGGTTTAGGGTTTAGGGGTTTAGGGGTTTAGGGGCTTTGGGGTTTAGGATCCTTATGGTTTACGGCCTTGCAGGCTTACGGTTTAGGGTTTTAGAATTTAGGCTTTTAGTGTTTAGGGTTTAGGGTTCAGGGTTTAGGATCTTTATGGTTTAGGCTTAAGGGCTTTGGGCAGGGTTTAGGGTTTAGGGGCTTAGGGCCCTAAGCAAAACATTAAGGATCGGAGTTTGGGGTTTGGGGTCTAAACAGGTTTAGGGTTCGTTGTTGTGGGGCATAGGCGGCGTGGGGCTCAGAGCCCAGGGCTTGGACTCTAGGGTTTCGGGCTTAGTGTGGGCTTTCGGGTTGACGGCTTTAGGCTTTGGGCCCGCTGGGCGGGAATCAGGGCAAAGTATGATCTTTGGATCTACCAGTTAGCCAGCGATGTGATGATAGGTTGATAAACCAGAAAGGGGAGAAACGATTCGCTGCCGAACCAGTTGCTCCCTAAAGAGGAACAGGAACTGCATCCTAAACCCTAAACGCATATCCAAACCCTGAGCCGCCCTGAAACCCCTTAACTCCTAAGCTGATTTAAGGGGGGACGAAGCCCTTGCTTCCCTCAGTTCCAAGAGAGGCGCCCGGACCTGTGCGTTGGCCAGCCCATGGGGAGGACTTCTCCGCGATGCCGACACTCTCGCCGAGGCAACTGGTGGGACGTTTTAGGGTTTAGGGTTTAGGGCTATAGGGTCACTAGAAGAGATATTACAATGGCTGTAAGGTTTGCTGCGGTTTACCAGGGAGGGCTACCAAAATCCAACGCTTTAGCGGCCCTACACCGGCGAAAGAGCTTTCACCCGGCTGTCCCAACCTTCTGTGTACTTTTTCTGCGCGTTTCGGCTTCAAGCAGTGATTGGTCTTGATTGGTATGTCTTTCGCCGCGTGATGATGACGACGACGGTGACGATAAGGCTGGCGCTGATACTACGGATTCTGATCTTGCTGCTGATGATGACGACGATGATGATGAGGATGATGATGATGGTGACGGCATCTTTGGCTGGAAGAGCGGTGTCATGATGATGGTGATGATGATGATGACGATGAGAACGAAATTCTGACGTTTCCAAGCCGAAATGCTGAGCCCCATCCCGAGTCATACCTCTTCTAGCACCCCTGTTGGCAACCCTAAACCCTAAACCCTAAACCCTAAACCCTATAATTTGTAGGCCATGACTCTCCGGTTCTTGAGCCGCTCTGTGAGGCTGGGGTCCGGGATGGCGACACGCTGACGGCCATCGCTCGGCACACGGACGTGCTTCGACTGTGGTGACGGCTTTTTTTCGGTTTCTACAGATGTTAGAAGGGTTCTATAAGGGTTCAAGTTCAAGCGGTTCTGCCGGATTTCGAAAACTACCCGAGAACCCTCTTGTAAATCCTGAAGATGAGGGTCGGGATAATTATTATGACTGTTCCTTGTAATATGCCTCCTGCCCCCATTCTGAACATTCAGGCCCCTATAATGGGCCCCTAAACCCTAAACCCCAAGACCCGAAACCCCCAAACCCCTAAACCATTTCTCCCTTTCTAAGTCCAGGTGCTGATGTCCCGGGGCGCCTGCGCCAAGCTCCTGAGCGACGGCTCAGTGGAAACCCGGGGCAACCTGGCTGGATTTAAAGTAGGAGCCTTGATGATTACCTGCATTATTTTGGGGGTTCCTGATTATATATTTATAGTATAATATACACCAAAACCCTATTCGAATTATTAAGGCCCCTACACGAGGGTTTAGAGGGGGTTTAGCGTGAGTTGAGGGTCTCAGGGCAGGGTTTGGGTGTGTTTGGGTTAGGGTTTTCTTTGTGGTTTTTTTGGTAGGGCTTTCCCTGCACGCGTTTAAAAGGTATGCTCATTTGTAGGACTTCGCTCTACATTTTATGCGAGGTTGTAGGGCTTACCTAGAGGATCAGAGACTGTCGGCAAAGGTCATTTTTACTCGGAAAAGCTCCCTGGTCCCTCGAAATTGCGGATTTCAGGGAGGGTGTACCCTCGACCCTGAACTCGAAATTTTAGGCACTTAGCCCTGAATCTGGTCCCTGCCTCAAGCTGCTCAGCAAATTACACGGAATATCAGCCATAGCGTAACTCATGAGTGCCTTATGGGTAGTTGTCAAAATTAGGGTCCCTTTTTGGGTACCCTAAATAATAGGTGCCGTATTATAATAAGGACCCAAAAAGGGACCCTAATTTTGACAACCACCCATGAGTGCCTTATAATTATCCTGATCGTATTGGCAGCGGTCAGAACGCTTGCGTTTCCACATTTCCTGGCTTTGCAGCTCCGCAGCTGAGGCCGGAAAGACTACGGCGGCGACTCCTCAGCGGTCCAAGATCCTGGGCGACATTGTAATAATAATAATAATAATAATAGTCAGACTTAGTATAGTAAGACCTACAAGATAATGAGGGTGTTCAGATTTGGGCGAGTAGTAGGATCCCTTGTGTTAAGAGGACCCAGCAAGGTGCCCCGAAGCTTAGTACTTCCATGTGCTTCCATGAGGAGGCAGGGCAGAAGGCTTCAACTTTTCGCTTAGCTTCGGTTTAGGGTTTAGGGTTTAGGGTTTAGGGTTTAGGGTTTAGGGTTTAGGGGTTTAGGGCCCCACGGTCGAGATGAGCTTCGTTACTGCGCTTGGGCGCCCTGCCCTCCTTGTAAGTCTTCGCAGCACGCCATCTTAATTCCCAGACCCAAGCTGTTCGGTCGTATCTTTGTCCCACATGGGGCCTAGGTCGGAGCTGAGGGCTTCATGCAGGGATTCTAGGGGTTTGGGGTTGGGGGCTTCGGGTAAAAGGTCTTATGCTTTAGGGTTGGCGCGTAGGGCGCAGGGCGCAGGATTCTGGAAGTCGTGGCTTGAGGACTCCTTTCGGGCTCTCGCCTTATCTGAGCCGTGAAGCATTGCAGTTGTTCTGAGCCTTGCGGGTTTAGGGTTTGGGGTTTAGGGTTTGGCGTTGTTTGTGTCGGTTGTCCAAAAAGAGATACACAGGCAGCCCAAGACCCCTGTACAACAGAGAACAACCCTTGCAAACCACAACCTTTATGAGACCCTAGACACTTTAACAATCCGCATAAAACCCCCACTACTAAAGATCCTAGTCAACCTCTGTCAAGGTAATAGGGGCCTAAATAATTTCCAATCCTATTCCCTGGGGTTCCTCATAATAGTTATACTACAATATACCCCAAAACCCTGTTCTACTGACTAAGGCCTGAACCCTAAACCCCTATAGCCTGCCCAATACGGGCTTTGGAGCGCAAGCAACAGAAAGGGCCTTAAACAAAATCCCTATTCTACTGATTCAGGCCTGAACCCTAACCCTAGACCCCTATAAAAAGCTCTCAAAACAGAAAAACCCTATTCTACTGATTCAGGCTTGAACCCTAAACCCTAAACCCTAAACTCCTAATAAAAAGCCCTTCAACACTGAAAAACCCGATATTAGATCAAGGCTCCTCTTCGTTCCGATGCCCCCAGGAGAGGTTGCGCGACGTGCACCAGCTCCAGGCGACGAAGCGCCCGGCCTTCCTGGGCTTAGGTCCAGGTGTTTTTTCTCGGGTTTGGGGTTGAGGATTAAGGGTTTTTTAGGGCTGAGGGTCTGGTGGCTTAGATTTTAAGGTGTTTGTGTGTTGGGCTTATGGTCTTTTTGAGTTTTGTGTTTACGGTTTGGGGTGTGCAAGTGTTTGGGTTTAGGGTTGATGGCTGTAGATTTTCGTTGTAGCTTCCGATTTGTGGGTAAAGTGTTTTTGGCCTCTAGATTCTTTAGACTTTTGGGTTCAAGGTTTAGGGTTTGTAGATTTTTGGGTTCAGGGTTTCGAAGGTTGGGTGTGGTTGAGGGCTTTAATTTAACCCCAAATCCCGAACCCCAAACCCAAAACCATATAAACTTAACCTTAAACCCTAGGCCCTAGACTCCAAACCCTAAACCCTTCAGCCCGAAACCCTTGGCCCGAAACCCCCCCCCCCTCCTCTCCCAGAGCGCCGGGCAGACGCTCAGGTATGCATTTGCCGCGCTGTTGGAGGATGGCTCCGTGGTGACCTGCCTTTCTGGCTTCTTTAAAAGTGCTAAGAGCTAGGAAGGGTCATTTCCGAGTTCAACCTTAGCCCACACCCT